AGGGATAGTGAACTCCAGGTTGACACAGCACAAATAGAGCATCTCCAAGACACATTGTAATGAACCCAACCAAAATCAAGATGAAAGAGAAATTTCTGCAAGTAGCCAGGAGTAAATGCTAACTGACCTACAGGGGCAGATCCACCAGGGTGACAGTGGACTTCTCAGCTGAAACTTTCTATGCCAGAAGAGAATGGTCAGCTACCTTTAATCTTCTTAAACAAAACAAAATTTTCAGCCCAGAATTCTGTATCCTGCTAAACTAAGCTTCAAAATCAATGGAGAAATCAAATCTTTTACTGATATGCAAACATGAGGAAATTTGCCACAACAAGACCAGCTCTACAGGAAATACTTAGACCTACTCTCAACACTGACCATCACAATGGACCACCAGCAAAGTAAACACTCAGAAACTAAAGGACAAAACCTAGCTTCCACAATGGTGCAAAGGATACAACTAAGCATTGGACCTCCACAAAATAAGATGAATGGAACTCCACCACACTTCTCAATTATCTCAATAAATGTGAATGGCTTGAATTCCCTACTGAAGAGGTACAGGCTGGCTGATTAGAGGGAAAAAAAGCACAAGCCATCCATATGTTGCCTCCAGGAAACACACCTAACCTTGAAAGACAAAACAAGAGTAAGTGGTAAAGGGCTGGAAAACAATATTTTAGGCAAATGGAAACCAAAAGAAAGGAGGGAATCATAATCTTATTTTCAGATACAAATGGATTTAAAGCAACTAAAGTTAAGAAAGACAGAGTTGGTTACTTTATACTGGTCAAGGGAACAACCCATCAAGAGGATATTTCAATTCGAAATATTTATGCACCCAACTTAAATGCTCCAAGATTTATGAAACAGACATTGATTGGTCTGAGCAATATGATATCCTATAATATGGTAAGACTTTAACATCTCTCTGGTTGAATTGGACAGATCACCTAAATAGAAACTAAATAAAGATACAGAGGGCTAAAATGCAACCTTAGAACAAATGGGCTTAACAGACCTATACAGAACACACCATTCCAAAGCTAAGGAATATACATTCTTCTCATCTGCCCATGGAACATACTCCAAAATAGATCATATCCTAGGTCACAAATCAAACCTCAAAGAAATTTTAAAAAATTAAAATTATACCTTGTATATTCTTAGATCACAAGGCAGTAAAGGTGGAACTCAACTCCAATAAAAATTTTCACCCACACAAAAGGCATGGAAATCAAACAACTTTATGCTGAATGACAGCTGGGTTAAGGAAGAGATAAAGGAGGAAATTTTTACATTCTTCAAACATAACAACAATGAAGCTATAAGTTACCAAAACTGTGGAATACTTCAAAGGCAGCCCTAAGAGGGAAATTTATCACATTAGATGCCTACATCTGAAAAACAGAGCACATCAACAAGCTAATGAATCATCTTAAGGAAATGGAAAAGGAAGAACAATACAATCTCAAACCTAGCAGAGGAAAAGAAATAACCAAAATAAAATCAGAAATAAATGAAATTGAAAACAAAAGAATCACTTAGAAAATTAATGAAACAAAAAGTTGGTTCTTTAAAAAGATAAATAAAATCAATAAACCTTTGGCCAGATTAACTAGAAACAGAAAAGGAACATCTCTATAACATCAATCAGAAATGAAAAAGGAGAAATAACAACAGATACCACTGAGATACAAGAGATCTCTGACTACTACAAGAAACTTTATGCCTAGAAATTTGACAGTCTGAAGAAAATGGATCAATAGTTGGAATCGTATCATCTCCCTAGATTTAACCAGGAACAAATAGATCTCTTGAACAGAACAATAACAAGCACTGAGATTGAAGAAACAGTAAAAAAATCTTCCAACAACAGCAACAAAAGCCCTGGTTTTACATCAGAATTCTATTCAACCTTCTAAGATGAGCTTGTACATATACTGCAGAACCTATTCCAAAACACTAAGAAAGAGGGACCTTCCCCAACACATTCTGTGAAGCAAACATCACCCTGATACCAAACCAGGAAAGGACCCAATTAAAAAGGAGAACTCAGACCAATTTCACTAATGAATATTGATGCAAAAATACTTAATAAAATCTTAGCCAATAGATTACAGCTATAAATTAAAAAAATTATACATCATGATTAGGCTTCATTCCAGGGATGCAAGGCTGGTTTAACATATCCAAATCCATAAATGCAATTCACCATATTAATAGAAGCAAAAACAAAGACAATATGATACTCCCAATAAGTGCAGAAAAAGCATTTGATAAAATCCAGCATCCTTTTCTAACAAGAACACTTAAGAATATAGGTATAGGTGGCACATGTTTTCAAATGAATGAAGTATAACAAACTCACAGCTAACATCATACTGAATGGAGTAAAACTGAGAGCTTTTCCACTTAGAACAGGAGCCAGACAAGGATGTTGTCTATTACCACTACTATTAAAAAGTGCTAAAAGTTCCAGCTAATGCAATTAGTCAAGAGAAGGATAAAAGGGGCATCTAAGTTCTAGCTAATGCAATCAGTCAAGAGAAGGATATAAACGGCAGAGGAGGTCCAACTCTTGCTCTTTGCTAACTATATTTGATCTTAGAAAACTATATGATCTTAGAAAAACCCAGAGACTCAACCCTAAGACTCCTGGAAGTGATCAAGAAATACAGTAATATCTCAGGGTATAAAAATCAATGTCCACAAATCAATAGCCTTTGTATATGCCAATAACAGCTGCCAAGAAGCTAATCAAAGATATAATGCCCCTCACATTAGCTTCAAAGAAAATTAAATACCTAGGAATGTACCTAACCAAAGAGGTGAAGGAACAGAAAAGGAAAATCTCTATAGCATCAATCAGAAATGAATTCCACCCTCTACAAAGAGAACTATGAAACCCTAAGAAAAGAAATAGCAGAAGACACCAACAAATGGAAGAACATACCATGCTCTTGGCTGGGAAGAATCAACATTGTTAAAATGTTTATACCGCCCAAAGCAATCTACAGATTCAATGCAATCTCCATTAAAATACCAACATCATACTTCGAAGAACTGGAAAAAATAGTTCTTCATTTTATATGGAACCAGAAAAGAACCTGTATAGCCAAGGCAATTTTTGGTAATAAAAACACCAGAGGTATCACTCTATCTGCATTTAGGTTATATTTCAAATCCACAGTGATCAAAACAGCATGATATTGGCACAAAAATAGAGACATAGATATCTGGAAATATCTAAATAGAAAACCAAGACATGAAACCAGTCTCTTCTAGCCATCTGATCTTTGATAAACCAAACAAAAGCATATATTGGGGAAAAGCATATATTGAACCTCTATTCAATAAATGGTGATGAGAGAACTGGATAACCACATATAAAAGACTGAAACTGGACCTGCACCTTTCACCACCTACAAAAATTGACCCAAGATGGATAAAAGATTCAAATCTAAGACATGAAATGATAAAAATCCTAGAAGAAAGTGTGGTAAAAACTCTTGAGGATGTTGGCCTGAGGAAAGATTTTATAAAGAAGACTTTAGTGGCCATTGCAACAACAAGAAAAATAAACAAATAGGACTTAATTAAACTGAAAAGCTTCTGCACAGCTAAGGACACAACAATCAAAGCAAAGAGACAACTTTTGGAATGTGAAAAGATATTTGCATATTACAAATCTGACAAAGGCTTGGGAGGATAACTAGAATCTATAGAGAACTCAAATTAATCAACACAAAAAAAGAACAAACAACAATCCCACTTATCACTGGGCAAGAGACATGAACAGAAACTTCTTTGAGGAAGACAGATGAATGGCTAACAAACATATGAAAAAATGCTGATTGTCCGTAATCATCATAGAATTATAAATCTAAACCGCCCAGAGATATATCACTTAACCCCATGAGAATAGTTCACATCACAAATTCTCAGAGTTGCAGATGCTGTCCCAACTGTGGAGAGAGAGGGACACTTTTACTCTGTTGTACCAACAGTGTTATAGACTGCAAGGTAAAACAGCCTCTTTGGGAAGAAGTATGGAGAATCCTCAAAGAACTCAAATTAGACCTTGTATTTGATCCCACAACCCACAACTAGGCATATACCCAGAAGAAAAAAAATATTTTTATCATAAAGGCATTTGCACTAGAATGTTTATCACTGCTCAATTTACAATCTCCAAGATGTGGAAACAATCTAAATGCCCATCAACTCAGGAATGGATTAACAAGTATACCATGGATTACTATTCAGCCCTAAAAAAAGATGGTGACTTTACATCTTTTGTATTAACCTGGATGGAGATCAAACATATTCTTCTTAGTAAAATACCACAAGAATGGAAAAGCAAGTATCCATTGTACTTAATTTTATTATGAAGCTAGCAGATGATCTAACACATGCCTACTTGGGAGAAAAACTTAATTCTATTCAAGATGGGGGGAGGGGGAACCAGGGAGTGGGAATAGGAAGGGAGGATTGGTGTGCTACCACTTAAAGGGCACACGGTAGGGGTGTATGGCATACTTTTTTGGTATGGGACACAATTACAAGAGGGACTCTACCTAAAAAATTCAAAAATTGTGGATGTTTGTACTCTTATAATAACCTGAATTTTTTTTTTTATTTTTGGCAGTTTTTGGCCAGGGCTAGGATTGAACCCGCCACCTCTGGCGTATGGGCCTAGCGCCCTACTCCTTTGAGCCACAGGAGCTGCCCAAACACCTGAAATTTTAAAAAATGCTAAAATTGGTTTCAGGGGGAAAAAAAAAGAAGAAGGGTGAGAGAGAATCAAATTCTGATTGTATCTTCCTGGTGCTCTCTGAAGAGCACCTAATCATTCTGAGCAATCTCAGTGCTGCTCCCTTGCCTGCTACAATGTTTATAGGTGGGCAGAAGAATTGGGGTCCCTGGAGGCCCTGAATGAAGTACAGGATCAGGACGTCCCTGGGTCCTACTCATGTTCTGCTTTGGGAGAGACTCACCTTGCCTTGGTGCTGGAGCTCCACCCAGCCTCCATAGCCAAACCTCTGCAGTGGGGAGAAGCACAGTTAGTCTGGAAGAGCAAAGAGAGGGCTGCACTCAAGGGGCATCCTTAGGACAAAGGATCCTGAGCTTGCTCCTTTTTTTTTTTGAGACAGAGTCTCTTTTTGTCACCCTTGGTAGAGTACTGTGGTGTCATAGCTCACGGCAACCTCTAACTCTTGGGCTCAAGCAATTCTCTTGCCTCAGCCTCCCCAGTAGCTGGGACTACAGGCACCTGCCACAACACCCGGCTATTTTTAGAGGCGGGGTCTCACTCTGGCTCAGGCTGGTCTCCAACCTGTGAGCTCAGGCAATACACTTGCCTCTGTGTCCCATGGTGCTGGGATTACAGGCATGAGCCACTACGCCTGGCCCCTGACCTTGCTCCTTTTAAGCATCACCTTCCCATTTCCTTCTTTTTTTTTTTTTTTTTGAGACAGAGCCTCAAGCTGTCCCCCTGGGCAGAGTGCCGTGGCATTACAGCTCACAGCAACCTCCAACTCCTGGGCTCAAGCGAGTCTCCTGCCTCTGCCTCCCAAGTAGCTGGGACCACAGGCACCCGCCACAACGCCCGGCTATTTTTTGGTTGCAGCTGTCATTGTTGTTTGGCGGGTCCGGGCTGGGGATTCGAACCCGCCACCTTAGGTGTACGTGGTTGGTGCCTTAGCCGGTTGAGCTATAGGCGCCAAGCCCCCATTTCCTTCTTATACCCATGTATCATTTAGTCAATATTTATATTTAAGTTAATTTACTTTTTTTCTTATAAATATATTTATGCAGGAAGAAAATTCTATACCCCAGAAGTGCTGGTTTTATCTTTTCTCCTAATGTAGTTTGAAATTTTAAAATGAGTTTAAAATCTACAAAATATTTGTTTATGTACCACCTAAAATCATTTCATGGGCCACCCCAACCTGGGTAATGAAACCAGGTATCCACAGTATTTCCTCAGAAGGGTTGTTTAAGTCAAATCATGTCTGGGACTTTGTCTTTTAAAACCTTATAGTGATCAGGAGCAATTAAATCATTGCTAACAAAAGATGTAAATATATGTTTTTATTATTGAAGGCCAGAATTATTTTTACCCCATTTAAAATGAGAAGAGTCTTTGTAAGTCCCACTATTAGGCACATAGTAGGTGGTCAGTAAAACTTTGCTAAAGGAAACGGATGCTAAAGGATGATCATTATCATCATCCTTGTTGCTATGGATAATTCACTGTAGACCAAGCTGAAACATTTTTCAGCACAGCTTCTTGAGCTCCAGTCCTCCTCTTTGTGAAAGCAGAGGAGTGTGGGTCTCAACTTCAGAAACAATGGTATCAGGTGTCCTTGAATCTACTGTCTTTCCAGCTCAGATTTTTTTTCAAAGATCCTAATTGTACTCTGAGTAAAATCATTATTAGCAGGTTACAATGAAAAGATTTCTCAAATCCCAGTTCTCTGTAATCATGAGTTAATCATCACCCCAGGCCTGTTAGTTCTGCTTTTCTATCTCCTCATTATACAAGAAGGTCAAGGTTGTTTCTGCAACAGTATTCCCCTGGACCAGTTTCCTCAAGGTAAATGTGGTGGTGCTCTAGAGAGATGACCGTGGCCCCCATAGCACTAGGATTTTAGGTTCGTTTCTATGTCTCAAGCAACTCATCTGTTAAGTTAATAAGTCTTACCGGCACAAGGTTTTATGTGAATTAAATTATTTCTGTCTGTGGCGTACAAAGTATTGTGACTATTAATAGAATGATGGTGAAGATATGTACTGGCTCTCTGCTTGCCTCATGTGAGAGACCATTGCATAAGAAGAAGCCTGGTTTATTGGGACTAAATACCCTTTTCTCTTTCCAGGCACTGGGTGGCGATTGGAAGAGGAGGCCAGGTAAAGAGCCAATAGCACGTGAGCTTGGAGAGTTTTCAGGTACACATCTCTGGCTGTCCTCATGCTCTCTATCTCTCAGTTTCCTAAGCAATTTTGATAATGCCTTTAGGACCCTACATGGGGTGGGTACCTAGAAAGGCTCTTGGTAACCAGTTCTCTGTTCAAACTGGGGGCAATCTTGGGATAGAAGGCAGGAAATGGGAGGTGAGGTTGTGACACAGGACACCTGATGGAAAGTTTTCTCCTCTCAGGAAAGAAGAGGCATTATTTTAGCTCTCAAGGGTCTTCCAGATAGGGAAACCTCAGGGCATAGGACAGAGAACCTTGTATTTGTGGCTTATTAGGGAATGGCTCACTGGGACCTAGGTTTAGTGGGAAGGTGACCATCCAGAAGGAGTCTGAAGAGTGCATTCCCCAGAAACAAGTTATTTCTTTTAGCTAGTGGCTCAAATTAGTCTGGGGGTTCTTAAAGCCTGGGTTTAAGTCTGCATTCTACACTGAGAATGCAACAAGAGTAGTTAGAACAGCCAGGTTCTTCTTTGCATAATATGCCTTACACCTGCTGTGGGAGGAACTGAACAATGGTTCTTCTGTCAATGAAATCATCTTAACTATAACCGGCTTGCTCTCTGTCTTAGTCCATCTGGGCTGCTATAGCAAAATAATAATAGACTGGGAAGCTTATAAACAGCAGAAATGTATTTCTCACAGTTCTGGAGGCTGAGTAGTCCAAGATCTGGTAAGCACTTGCTTCCTGGTTTTTCGAAGGCACTTTCTAGCTGTGTCCTCACATGGCGGGGTGGGGGGTCAGAGTGGGGCAAACAAGCTTCCCAGGGCCTATTTTATAAAGACACTAATCCTTAGGCCTCAAAATCCATGTTTGTATAAGGAGGTGGACACCACGGAGCTTGGAGTCCCTGGTGCTGTGACATTCTTTTTTCAGAGGGTCATGTTTGCTAACTCTCAGGGGAGGAGAGTGCGGGTGGGCAGTGTCCTCTAGTGACCACCATGGGAGTTCCCAAACATTTCATGTGAATGTCCTTCAATATTCAATTAGAAAGAAAAGCTGTAATATTGGACTTAATGCTATTTTCTGGGCTTAGAATAAAGGCTATTGTGAAATAACAAATGCCCAAATTTGGAGTTTTCTCAAACTCTCACATTAGGTAGTATACACTATTTCTTCCATTAATTTATTCACTGCATCATTCATCAGGTAAATACTCATAAATGATGGCTAGAAAATGGTGAGCACAATAAGATGTAAGAAACTGTGTGTGAGGCCAGGTGAGGTGGCTCATGCCTATAATCCTAGCTCTCTGGGAGTGAAGCAGGAGGATTGCTTGAGCTCAGGAATTCAAGACCAGTCTGAGCATGAGCAAAATCCTGTTTTTTAAAAAAAAAAACTAGCTGGGCAGTGTGACAGGCACTTGTAGTACCAGCTACTCAGGAGGCTGAGGCAAGAGGATGCCTAGAGCCCAAGAGTTTGAGGTTGCTGCCAGCTATGACCCCATAGCGTTCTACCAGGGCAACAGAGTGAGATTCTGTCAATAAATAAACAGAAAGTGCATGTGCAGGCAGCTTCCAAACAAGCCAAATGTACTTCCATGTAGTAACCCATGTGTTCCTTTCATAAAATCATTAACACCGTGAAATGGCATTTACCCTTTAATAACATATGGGGGGGATGACAACATTCAGAACAACATATTCCCATGTAAACATTTAAACTCCTTTCAGGAGTGGGGTAGATTAATAGGTTTAGCTTTTACTAGCAGCTGCAGTGCACAGACTTTTAAAGATGGTCAGCAGCGTTTGTAGTTTTCAATCCTAAGTTTCTACCCCCATCCCAAGTCAAAGAAACCCTTCAGATGGACATTCTTCAAGGAGATAACTATGAAAAAAAAATAGTTTCCTCTACTTGCACAATAGTTTTAATTCTAGTTTGAATTAATTCATTTTTCCTCACTTGAAAAGATGGGCTATTATAAGAGGTGTGAACATACTGGAAGACTGCTGAAGACTGAGTAAGACCTGGTATTAATCCTGCACAACCCTCTAGCCAATTTTAAATTTCTTTCATACTCTCCACCTTCCTTTTTTAGAATTCATTGAAAAGTTCTTAATGACAAAAGAAAATTTCCACCTTTAAAGAAACACAAGAATGCTCTTTAGAGATAGTCATTGTATAAAAGCTTCATGTCATTTATCCCAGAGTTTCTTTTGATACACCTACCACCTAGTTCTTCATTACAAGAACTTACAGCTTAAAGAACATCAAAAAGGAAAGATATCAGTGTCCTAAAATAGACTCAAATTTTTTCACAAAGCTATCTCTTGATGCTTTTAAATCTTACTTCAAATAGCTTGGAAAGCAGATATATTTTAGAAGTCACTGAAACCTATCTCATTCCATTTTTTAATACTTTTAGTTGAAATTGTAGCTTTAAATTCTGTAGTTGGCATGTATGTTCCCAGCAGCTGAATATGTGATTTTAAAAAGGTAAATCTGCCTGACTTAAATTGTCCAGAAATTTTAAAGAATGCTTCATTTGAGGGAAAAAGGAGATTTTGAGAAATGACTTATTTCTTTAATCCAGTGTCCTTTCAAAATAAACATAAAAGTCATTTTTGAAAACTAGATGATCATTTTTTAAAAAATGATAAACCAAATCATTTAAAATCAATTCCAAAGAAGAGAAACTTAATGTCTAATTCTCCCCAAAATAGAAAGGCCCAAAATAGAGGCATTGAGAAACCCAGGAGAAGTTTTAGAAATAATTCACAAATTAATTTACCATTACCTTTTTTAGATCTGGCCATTCTTTTGGTAGAATGTGATTATGGATGTCAATTTTCATCTTCACAGGATAAGAGAAGTATGTAAGGAAAGAAGTTTTGATGTCAAGAGATCTCTATGAAAACCATGGAGTTCAATGATTGACTTTGTCCTTTTCTAGCCAGTCAGTAGGCCTGCCTAGCCTCATCTAGGTCTGTTAGACCTGCCTTCTTAAAGTTCAAAATTCTGTTTATTTGTTAACTGGGTTTTGCGTCAACACACTTTGGTAGTCAGGACTCTGGGCAAAAACTTGAAAAAAAAAAGGACTGTACTCAAGCCTTTGAGGTCAAAAGTACAGGCAGGCTGCTTCGAGTTATGGTGGTAAAAAATTGACCAAATTTTTATCAAAACACAGATAGTTTAAAATCAAACAATTTGTGTAAAAATCAAATAATACAGAGGGCTTTTAAAGAAAAGTATGGATCCCTGACTCACCTCTTTTTATACTTGGTTTCACTACCCAGAAGCTGCCACTTTTAATGCTTTTGTTTCTGTTTAGTTGGTTATTTCCATGTCTTTAAATAATATTTAACAATTGGCTTGTTTGTGAAAATTTAGCATATTGAAAAGTTTTATAGGATGTTTTATATTTATGTTTAAATCATAGGAAAAGTAGACTTTTTCTTTTTTTGAAACAGGGTCTCACTCTGTCACCTAGGCTGGAGTATGGTGGTGAGATCATAGCTCACTGCAGCCTTAAACTCTTGGACTTAAGTGATCCTCCTGCCTCGGTCTCCTGAGAAACATGAGCAACAGGCATACACTACCACGCCTGGATAATTTCAACATATAGATTTTTTGTTGTTGTTGGTAGAGATGGAGCCTTGCTATGTTGCCTAGGATGATCTTGAACTCCTGGGCTCAAGTGATTCTTCTGCCTCGTTCTCCCAAAGTGCTGGGATTACAGGTGTGAGCCGCTGTGCCTGACCAGAGTCCACTATTCATATTTATCTTTTTCCTCTATTGCCTTTGTTTTGTGCTTTCTCATTCATGACTTTATTCACATGCGTTTATTTAACAAATATTATGGAGAAATGTGCTGAGGTTATAAGGTCGAATGAGAGCTAAGATGCTACAGGTGCTGTAATAGATAATTGCACACAGCTTGAGTGTCGGGAAAAGAAGGCAGTGGAGAAGATTGAGCATCATCAGAGCAGCGTGGGAGGGCTTCCACTGGAGGGTGGAACACAGCAGCCCTTTATAGCTGTGTTTACCTTTTTTTTTCTGGGAAGTTTAAAATGTTCAAGTGACCCCAGGAGCCCTGGCAAAGCCTTAGCAATGCTTTGAGATGCTCCCTTCAGGTCAGTATCCATAAAGCAGAAACTCTGTAGTTAAAAAGCTTTCCTTCTGTAATCTGACTAGCTTCTGCATAGGTTATAACACATAGCTTGAAAAAAAATGAGAGAATGCCTCAAAATCCATTTTTTAAAAAGTTCAGTGAGCTAAAACTAAATGGAGTGAACTAACACATGGAGGCACAGGCTAATCCTGAGTAAGTGCAAGTGTTTTCAGAGCACTTCCTCTGGGCCAGCACTGAACCAACATTCTATTCATATCAATTTATTGATTACATGTAACATTTTTTATGAGAGGAACTATTACCGATACCCATTTTATAGAAGAGGAAACTGAAGCACAGGGAAATTAACTTTTTTTTTTTGAGATAGAATCTCATTATGTCTCCCTCAGTAGAGTGCTATGGCATCACAGCTCACAGCAACCTCTAACTCTTGGGCTTAAGTGATTCTCTTGCATCAGCCTCCCAAGTAGCTGGGACTACAGGTGCCTACTACCACAATGCTCAGCTATTTTTTTTTTTTTTTTTGCAGTTATCTTTGTTGTTTAGCAGGCCTGGGCCAGGTTTGAACCTGCCAGCCTTGGTGTATGTGGCTAGAGCCCTACCCACTGAGCTACAGGAACTGCCAAGTTACCTTTTTCATGGTTACACAATAGTGTGTGGTAGAGCCAGAATTCAAACCCAGACAGTGTGGTTTCAGAATCTTAGATATTTGGGAATTAGTATCTGTACCATGCTGAAACTCCCTCATGAAGCTAAAATTCTTGAATGGTCAACCTTTAGTGAAAAATTAAGACTAGAGGCTTGGCACCTGTAGCTCAGCAGCTAGAGCACTGGCCACATATACAAGAGCTGGTGGGTTCGACCCTACCCAGGGCCTGCCAAACAACAATGACAACTACAACAACAACAAAAAGCTGGGCATTGTGGCAGGTGCCTGTAGTTCCAGCTACTTGGGAGGCTGAGGCAAGAGAATCTTTTAAGCACAAGAGTTTGAGGTTGCTGTGAGCTGTGATGCCACAGTACTCTACTGAGGGCAACATAGTGAGACTCTGTCTCAAAAAAAAAAAAAAATTAAGACGAGAAAAACATTCACTGGTCCCAAAAGGGAGTCTGTAATGAAATCTTCACTATGGGAAAGGAAACAGAAAAAGGAGAGAGACGGAATAACAGTTTTCTCTGAGAATTTCTCTGAGGATTTAAGGACACCACTTGAAAATGTTAAAGTATTGCATGTTGGAATTTATTAAAAAAAAAGAGAAACATTAAGTTCACAATTCTGGTGGCTGAAAAGACCAAGAATATGAACTTTCTACTCAGCTTCTGGTGAGGGCCACACGCGTGCTGAGTCAAGACATGGCAGAGAAGCAGAGAGGTAAGCAGCCATGTGCAATTAGAGAGCATGTAGAGGAGGCTGACCAGCTTCATGACAACTGCTCTCAAGAGAACTAATCTATTGTTACAGGAACTAATCTATTCTTATGAGAACTAATTTAGTCTCGTGAGAACCAACTAGTCTTATGAGAAATCCATCTTAACAAGCTAAGCGCCTCTGAAAAGTACCACCTCCCAAGATTGCTACATTGGCAATTAAATTTCAATATGAGTTTTGGTGGGGACAAACTACATCCAAACCATAACACTACCTCTGCCCAGAAACAGAAAATGTGAAATAAATCCTCCCTGGAGAAAGACATTCCAACTTAGTCCCCTCAGCATTGCCACAGATTAAGGGCAACAAAATATTCACTTACAATAAAAAAATTCTGAGGAAATTCATGAGGAAAAAAGCCACCATGAGAAAAAATCTATAGAAACAATAAGTAATAGATTTAAACCCTCAAAGAAACAGATATTAGAATTATTAAACACAGAATATAAAATTATTATATATGAAGTGTTTAAAGAAATAAAAATAATTAAAAATTAACAAATATTAAAAAATGACTAAGTATGAAAATGAGTGAAATGGGACTTTTAGCAATGAAATCATAATAATTTTTTTTATTGTTGGGGATTCATTGAGGGTACACAGAATAGGTTACATTGATTGCTTTTGTTAGATAAGGAACCTCTTATAATCGTGTCCTGAAAATCATAATAATTTAAATTAAAAACTCAATGGGTAAGATAAATAGCAAAACAGACATAACTAAAAATAGAATTAATGAACTGGAAGAGAAACTTTCACAGAGGAATGAGGAACTTGATCATATATAAGAGAGTTACAAAACACAAAGGATAGAAAGTTTAAAAGGAGTCTGATAAAAGCTCTAACACAGAGGAAAGGGAAAGAAGATGGAGGAGAGATATTCTAAGAGATAATAGCTGAAAATTTTCCAGACCTGATGAGCCAACAGATCCTGGAATCAAAACCTATATTATGAAGGATCACCAAAAAGAAATCTATTTGTAGAAGCTTTGTAGTGAAACTACGAAATAAAAATAAGACCCTATAAGCTGCAAGCTAGAAAGAAAGAGAATGCCTTCAAAACTCAGCAATTAGATTGATAGAAGATTTCTTACAGCAATGTGAGAGCCATTGGATGATAGGATATGTTCAAAATGTTGAGAGAAATTAACTGTCAACCTGGAATTGTGTGCTACTTAAAGTTCTATTTTAACAATGAGGGAGAAGTAAAGATATTTCCAAATAACAACTGCGTTTACTTCACTTGAGATATTTTCTAATGATGTATTCCAGAAAGAATGAAAATGACTGCAGAAAAATGGTCTGAAATGCAAGATTGAATGGGGAATAAATAAAGTGATAATCATATAAGTAAACCTAAATATATTAAGTACCGCCGCTACTACTACTAGTAATAGTAATAAAAATGTCTGTTTCAGGGAGTTAAGGCACTAGGGAAATGTTGTTCAGCCACACCGTTGCATTTCCTCTTGAGGGCATGCTTTCCTGACACTCTCCTGATTTAAGCATCTTTTGCTGTCTAGGTAAGCTAAGAATTTCCTAAATCATTAAGTCCTGGTTCCTTTTTGATTATTATATCTATCTATCTTTTATATATCTATCTTTTTATATCTACATTCACTGTAAACAGCACAAAGAAACCAGGTCCACCTTTAATACTTTGCTTGGAAATCTCCTCAGCTAAATGTGCAATTTTATCACGTATAAGTTCTGATTTCTAGGCTTGGCACCATAGCTCAGTGAGTAGGGTGCTGGCTGCATATGCCTAGGCTGGTGGGTTAGAGCCCGGCCTGGGCCTGCTGAACAATAATGACAACTGCAACCAAAAAATAGTTGGGCATTTTGGCAGGTGCCTGTAGTCCCAGCTACTTTGGAGGTAGAGGCAAGAGAATCTCTTAAGCCCAAGAGTTTGAGGTTGCTGTGAGCTGTGATGTGACAGCACACTACAGAGGGCGACATAGTGAGACTCTGATTTCTACACAATATGTTAGGGAACATAGTTATCTAAGTTTTCTGTCACTATATAGCAAGTGACAATTTCTAACATGTTCTCATTTCCTTCTGAGTCCTCATCACCATTGCCTTTTGTACCCACATTTCTGCCATTGATGTGTTTATGGTGATTTAGGCAGGTATTTTCTAAGACAGTATAAGCTTTCTCTACCTTGCTCCTCACTTCCTTCTGAACCTTCACTGAATGAACCTTTAACATCCATATTAATATTTCTACTAACAGTCCGTTCAAGGAAATCTAGAACTTCTATATCATGTATTTCGATATTTTTTCACCCTCTGCCTAATGCCCAATTCCAAAGCTTCTTCCGCATTTTTATGTATTTGTTACAGTAGTAACCCACTTTCAGGTACCAAAGT